GGGTTGGGAAGGGTAAAGGAAACGTGTTCCCCCGGACGGGGCCTGGGGGGTCGGGGGGTGGGGGGGACGGTTTACCCCCTCCTCGGGGGGGGCCCTGCTGCGCTGGCAGGCTGGCAGCTGGGGATCCGGAGGCACAGCAGGGAGGGGTGGCTGCGCCCTGATCCGCCCCCCCCTGAGCTGGCGAGTGTAGCAGGCACACAGTGTTCTGCGAACAGCAGTGTGTGTGGCATTCACCGGACAGTAGGCCTACACGCGCTCAGTGAGGATGTAAGCGGTGAAAGAAGATGGGTGGCCTTCTGCCCCAGAATAGCTGTTTCCTTTCCTTCTTGCCGTGTGGGTGTGACTGGGGGATGTCAGCCTGGAGCCCTGCCTCCACGTTCTCTGTCACCTACATGTTCTTGGTACTTGTAGCTCTTGCTCCTTTGTCCTCTGTCTCCTTCAGTCAGCTTGGTTAGCCATTTAATGCCCAAGAATAGCCAGACCACCTCAGCCCATGCAGTACTGGTGGCCGTGGGCTCTAGGTGAGCAGACCCGCCTCTTCCAGCCTTTCAGAGTCCTGCTCCCTGGTTTAAAAAACGATTTCCCCTCAGCCTTGTCCCTGAAAAGTCAGCCACAGGTGTCTGCTGCACCAAAGACAGGTGGTCATGATGGGGCTTTTTGCTCAGGAAAGGGCAGCTCAGAGCGCTGGTTCTGATGGCCCCTAGCGGTTGGGGAGGGCTGGACCTGGCAGCCACGCAGCCAAGGTCTGGTTCAAGGTGTTTATAAACACCCCTTGTTTCTTCCCGGCAGGACACTGAATGTGTGTGGTCAGACTGAGACCAGAGCACTTCTTTCCCTCGCCGCTGAGGGATGAGGGAAAAGTCAGCAAATCCTGTTTAGATCTAGAAATGAGCTCGTAACCTGTGCTGACCAGTCAGGGGCTGAACAGATGGCCGCCGCTGGCAGGATCCACCACTGGCAGGATCCATTGGGTGAAGATGTTCTCAGCAGGAGTTCTGTTCGTGTCGACCTGCGCTCCTGCCAGAAGGTCTGGTGCGTTGGGAACTCCGGGTGTGCAGGAGGGGATCCAGTTCCAGTGGCCTCGGACAGAGGAGCAGGCTCTGGATTTCAGCGGGTGTCACCTATTAGACCAGCTCTACTGTGGGGAGGTTATTAACTGAATCAGTTATTTTCTTGAGATTTCAGAGTAGTGTGTGGGCCAGTTTTAAGGCCCTGACCAAATACCATGGAACACGAAGCACGCAGAAATGCCAGGAGGCCGGGCTGTCTGCGGGGCTCAGTGGACGAGGGCCCCTTGTAGGCCGAAGGGGACGGAACCTCTCCTGTGCTCCAGTGCTTTGACTTGTGGCAATTTTCAAGAGTGTAATTTTAAAAACTTGTGCTCTACTGTCAGGATATCTTGGTTTTGTACTGAGAAATTCACAGTAGTATGTCTCTTCTGGACAGTTTGGAGGAAAACGTTAACTTTGCTCAGAGGAGACCGAGCAGATTTTGAGGACCTCTGTCCGCACCTCCTCCCACAGCCCCAGCCCCCAGCACTCACACAGCCAAACCAGTGAGACCAGCGTGGACATGGCGTGACCCGTCCTGTGAGCCACACCTCTCCCCAGAGGCACTGCTGGCCTGGTGGGTCGTCCTGCCTGCCTGTGACCAGCCCCCAGGTGTCCCTCCTTGTGGGGGAGAATTTGTCTGTGGTGGGCACAGTCACAGCGCAGGGTTAGTCCCTCCCTGGGACAATATTGAATGCGTTATTTGGATTACAGGGGATGGGGCCTGTACTGAGTACGCAGGCACATGTGACCCTCCCTGCACACCCGAGCAGAGGCGCGCTGCTCTGTGTTTCCCGGATAGGGACTGAGGCTTGGCAGGCGTCACTTGCCCCAGGCTTGCATGGTTACAAGAGGCAGACAGAGCTGGGCCCTCAACTGCAGAGACTGCAAGACAGAAGGTACCGGACCTGACCTGGGTGATGAGTGCTTCCTGGAGCTGGAGGGGCCGGGCCGGGCCGGTGATCATGACTGGGTCCCACAGCTGCGTGGCCAAGCCTGCAGCTCACTGGGGACTAGAGTCCCGCACAAAAGAGGGCCTGAGTGACTCCTCACACCACCTGTTCCAGGGGTAGTGATGTTTCATTGGGCCTGTGCTGAGTGGGACCGGGTTGGCAGGGCCCTCGGGCTCAGCCACAGGAAGACTAGGCAGGTGAGCGGCTAGAAAGGTGCGTCTCTAGGAGGGACCCTGAAGTCCTTTTTTCCCCTGGCTTTCTGAGGACTGGCTCCTGAGATAGACGGGCCTCCAGTCAGTTATCTGGAGCTTTTCGGGAGCCTTTCCTCCAGGAGCGCTGCAGCTGTTTTTAGAAGGCAGAGTTACTTTCCCACTCTGGGGAAGGTGAGCCTCATTCCTCAGAAGTAGAAACTGCCCCTCCCTGCCTGCTCCTCCGTCTTCCAGCCATTTCTAAAAGCAGAGGAAGCAAGGTTTTCTATTTTAAAGTATTTTATTTTATATTAAAAAAATACAAATAATAACTTGAGAGACTGTCTCACACACATGGTACAAACAGCCGTGCATGGTTTTGTTCATGTCACAGCGACACCAGAGCTGCTAATAAAGTGCAAGGTTTCTGTTTCGTTTCACTTTGTGCCGTTGCACACACATGTAAACAAGTCACTCCCTCCACTCTGACCCGTACCCTCGTTTCAGGCCAGCCAACGCGGGACCCCCAGTCACGGACAAGCTAGCGCCAGTTAGTCCTGGCCCTCCGGCCCAGCCGTGGGTGGTTAACTCCCACCTCACCCCATTCGTAGGTCTTTGTGAGAAGTGAGGCAAACCCACCCTCTGCTGGGACTTGTCCCCAAGTCGTGGGGGTGGTGGGGGTCCGGCCTCAGCCAGTCCTCTTTCCTTCCGGAGCAGATGACGGTCCTTTCTGGTCCGGAGCCTCCCCCGCGCCTGGCCCGGCGCCGGGAGGGAAGACGCCCGTCCGTGTGCGCTCAGCCGTGACAGTAGACTTTTGGACAAAAGGGCCTCCTGAGGTTCTGCGGCCCCGCGGGGGCGGGGGCTCCTAGCTGATGACGCAGCGCTCCTTGGCCTTGGCCTGGCCGCCGCTGGCCTTCTCGCGGATGTACATGAGGTCGCTGTGCACGCTGGGACGGCGCGCCCAGGGCGCCACGATGCCGAAGGCGTCGTCCGGGTCTCCGCCTGCGCGCCGCAGCCTCTTGCCCCGCAGCGCCTTCTTGTACAGCGCGTCGCAGTGTTGCACTGACACCCTGCGGTGCAGGTCCGGGCTCATCTCGCAGGGCAGCTTGGCCATGGCGAAGAGCGCGCGGAACATCTGGTCCAGGCTTCTGTTTCTCTTGGCCGAGATCTCGAAGTAGGCGCAGGGCTGGGAGTCGGCGCCCACCAGCTGCTCGATCTCGCGCTGCTCCACCTCGCGGTAGAAGTCCCGGTCACCTTTGTTGCCGCAGATGACGAGGGGCACGTCCGCGTTTTCCTTGGTTTTGTTCTTGAGGCAAGACTTGGTGTCGAGAATCTGCTGTTTGAGCTTCTGCACCTCCTCGAAGGAGTCGCGGTTGTCCAGGCTGAACACCAGGATGAACACGTCTCCTACGGGGACAGCAGAAAAGGAAAGGGTGAAGGCGGTGGCCAGGGGCAGCCTAAGCGGGCTGACTCGGGCCGCCGCGCGGGGCGCGCTTACCTCTCCAGCGCACATCGCGCCCTAAGAACCGCGCCTCCAGCCGGG